GGTTTGTTGGTACAGTCTGTCAATTCGGGAATCACCTATACTCCTCATGCATTAGGAGAAGAGCAACTAAATTTATTTGGAAGCCATTTTCAAAAGAATCTGAAGGGTTTCTTTCAAAAGTTGTTTGGGAGATGCTCTTCCTTCCCCGAGAGGAAGGAGGCATGGGCATAAACTTGAAAGATCCGGCTAAACATAACGAATTATTATTGGTTAGATGGATAACAAAAGTCATCTTGGAACCCCAAAAACAACACTGGATTCTTTTTGCAGAACAAATTTTGGCAACAGAATGGAACCTAAGCCGACCAGCTGATGTCTGGACATGCCTCATGCTCTACTCATATCAACACAGACAGGTGAAATCACCCTTTTGGAGTGCGGTGATTAGGGCATGGAGGAAACTTAGTCCAGCTCTACTCATATCAACACAGACAGGTGAAATCACCCTTTTGGAGTGCAGTGATTAGGGCATGGAGGAAACTTGGACCATACTCCTGGGTTGAGCCAGTTATCAAAGCGGAAGTATTATTACAACCGCTGTTCGAAAATCCAAAGATCAAACCTTCAGATGGAAACTGGTTCCAAGCAGATTTTGCTACGACAAGCTTTGGTCGTTCCTGGATCGAAGAGGAGTGGTGAAAATGAGTGATATTTGGGATGAACTGATTGGTTCATGGAAAACCGCTCGATCCCTCCGGTCTATCTTAAGGGTAGTCTGGTTTCTGCAAGACCGTAGAGATGCTATCATTTCGGCTATTCCGAAAAAATTGAAAGATTTTTTGTTTGGTGTAACAACCCCCCCCCCCCCGGAACCTTGTATACCAAACGCTCATTATCGCTGCATCTGGACCGACAGTTGCTCAAAATACAACTATAATGACCGGGCATTTTATTCGGGTGAAAATGGTAGCTTCTCAAGATCTCAGAAATTGCAAATTTGAGAAGACAAATGAATTTGAAAACGCACTCAAATTCACGCAAAAAGCTTGGAAATGTCAAATATATACGAGCTACGTTTTGGGTCGGGTAGGAATCCGTAGGATCGTATGGGGGTGGGTTGTCTCCGAGGGAATGCCTTAAAGTGCACTCTCAAACAGTTTTCGTGATAGTTACCCCAAATCCAAAAGAGAAGAGACTAAGGGCCTCACTCCACTACTCTTTACATGCACAGAAAACAAAAAAGGGCAATGTATCTTTCGATGTTATATCGAAAGATGCATCCAAAATTTGTGCATTTGGTGAGCAATGCAGCGAGGCCCTAATAAGGAATACATTCAATACAAGGAATTCAAAAAAATAAGCATCTCGGTACCAATTCGTCAAAAAAAAAAAAAAAAAAAAAAAAAAAAGCATCACAGGCCTAGCTGAGCAATAGCGGCCATGTAACCAATAAAATCGGTCACTTCGTCGGGGCTATCCCGTAGCCCCCTTGTTTTTTGTTATCCGCTTGGAAGTTCTATTGGACAACATCCGTCGCAACGACAGGATTGGAGGACTAAAATTGGCAAATAGAAAACAGTGGAATGGGGTACTGCTGGCGGCTGATCGTACGGTTTTTACCATTATAACATGCAGAAATATTGGACAGAACCTAGGCAATCTTAGAAAAGTCCTGAACAACTACTATTATACCCTTTTTGAGGCTTCAATTAACTGGAATAAATCAGTGTTTTTCCTTCCCGAGTTCCTTGAGAATTTCAGTTATAAAGTGCATTGGGGATTCCAGCAGATGCATCCGACATAATTCTTGGAGAACAGGTCTCACTCTCTGGCAATGTTGATTTTCAAGATGTTATTTTGGAAGAAAAAGTTGAGCACAGGCTGGTCAATTGGAAGCATATGCGTCATCTATATCCCTCGCAAGAAGGTTCTTAGTAATTTCCTCTGCAGCACTTTCAGTCGTATAATTTATATTGACGATTCACCGATTGGAAGATACAGCCTATAAAAACATCGAAAGAGCTACAACTGAACTGCTATGGAAACCAGAGGCAGAAGAGAACAGGAGGGGTTCACGTCGAAGACTACGTGGGAAAGTAACTTGGAGGGGTTCACATCGAAGACTGCGCAGAAGAGAACAAGAGGGGTTCACGTCCAAGAGAAGAGGATGGTCCGACCATTTTAGATGCAAAGGCCGAACTTGGCACTCCTTGCCAAGTGGCCTGTTAAGGCATTGTTAGATGTGCACGAGCCTCGACGGCTATGGTTCGCATTGTACATCTTGGCTAAAGAATGGTAGCTCGGTCGGGAAAAAAAATGTATGGGTTGGTGATCGATTACGTCCCACACTAATAGAAAAACGAAGTCTATATTTTGGAAGAACACACTACATGCTTCACATAAACTCGTTCCGACTGAAAGACTGCATCCTACCACAAAAGACTCGAGAGTCGTAAATCAAATCTTGTTTGAAAAAATCCTTTGATTGTAGATTCATCAGGTGCAGAATTCTCTGCACACAACTCACCAGACAAAAAAAAAAGGCCTTTTTTCGAAGGCATGGGTTGAGAGGCGGGTTGTCAGGGTTAAGGATTTGTGGGATGAGAAAGATATAACTTGGAGGGTAAGCATCAACTCAGAGAGCCAAATCAGGCCATTGCAGTCGAGGAATGTGGGTGTAAGATTCCATTACACGGTCATGGAAGCAACTGCTGGTAGAGGTCAAAATCCCAGACTGTAGTTTGTGATGCATCTCCTCCGGGACGTAAAAGAAGATCCATATATCAGATAACGGATTATTTACGTGCAGATGGTTTTGCCACCAAACAATGGGTGGGTTATTTTAGACGCTTTTGGGTTCACTGCGGAACTGAACTGTGTGATTTCAGTCAGTCGGACTTGAATCTTCGGTTGGTCTCACCGAGAGGTGGCAGTTAGACTTGCGTAGTTTGATATTATATTGCTACCGTCTTCACCCGAATGGAACGCCCAGTAATTATCGCTGCATCTGGATTGAAAGTTGGGCCAAATGCAGCTATAATGACCGGGCGTTCTATTTGGGTGAAGACGGTCGCTTTCCGATGGGGACAAAACCGGTGAAGGACGAGGCTGCAGATGTCAGAACGTTTGGGCGGGGCGGGCAGTGTAGGTCACAAGACTGCTCTTGTGGATGAACATTCGTCAAACGTTAAGTACTAATCGCCTCAGATCTGAAGTGAAAACAAAGTGAAAACAAAACAGCCGTGTCTATCAGCCGTGCCAAGGAGACAAGAGGACAATTTATTGGCTATTTCGTCGATACAGCTCTCTTCCCTACGGAACGAGTTTAGCATGCTACCCTCTCAGAAGATTGCTAGTTTTCTTTTTTTCTTCTTTTTTTTTTTGTTTTTCTTTTCTGCTCTGGCTTCCCTTGTTTTCAGGTTCGGCTTCAGCAGTCAATCTGCCCCCAAAGAGGAATAGAAATTTCAGTGCAACTCAGTGGAAATTTCACTGGAAACTTCAGTGAACGTGGCCCGAAGAGGAATGGGAATTTCAGTGAAAGTGTGTGCGATGTAAGTGGATTTGGGAAAACGATCTCTTCACCTTTCGTTAACCTGCCGGACATGCAGGAGGATTTGGAATTGCTCTTATTTGAACTTGATTCGTCACTGGAAGAGAAATGCATCACCAAGGGAATTCTTTTTTATGGTCAAATGAGAGGATAGTCTCCGACTCTCTGGCATATACATCGAGCCGAGCATAAGGAAGAGGGAGACTGGCTTTTATGTTGTGATGCATGATGAAGACAATCATCTGGGATGATCGTAACAATCGACTCTTTCGCAGAGAGTACATGTCAGCCGATGCTGTTCAAAAACCCGATTCGTACTCCGGAAATTCACCTCACTATCTATCATCAGCGCCCGCCGCCTGGCCCAGACAGACAGATCACACGAGTAAACACGCAGTCGGTAAGAAGATGGTTCATTGAGGAGACATGGACAAGGGATTCTCGCCTGGCCAAGATGGATTTGACAGGCGTGGGCGGTCAGGCAGACTCACAGTTCTGCCCTTGGTGAATATCTCCACTGGGACTTGGGGATCATCTCATCAGCCATCGACCATATAGGTAGTTGGGATGGGTAACCAAGGAATCAGGCTAAAATCTGTGTCATTTTGTTTAAGGTTGTGTTGTGGGGATTCAGTCCCACCCAATTATCCACTTTGTTTTTGGGAGCGTTTTACGTCAGGGGAGACTCGACCCGGTTTCCAGGAGCCTAAGCTGGGGTATTGGCCGCCGTATTTTCACCGGGTTGTTTGTGAGTGATTCCTAACCCTCTTTTGTCCTTTGGTAATTCAAATTCTTGTCCCCCCCCCTCTCCCCTCCCATCCAACCCACCCACAAAAAAAAAAAAAGAGTTTCAATCTCAAAGCATCTCCCCTCCAGTACTACAAAAGAAGCAACCATAGCCAGGACACAAGGCAATAACATCCATAGACATACATCGCAATGGAAGCATCATTAACACAAAGAGGTCCGGCGATTGTGAATCACATTCAATCACTAGCTTCCGAGTTCAAATCTGCGCTCTTGAATGATAAGCAACAGAAACAAAAATAATGGTCGGGCCTCAAGAGCATAGTTCGTTCATCTGAAGAAGAGAGCAGTTGCGTTGCAAAGTGGATGCAGACTCATTCCTGAACTGATACGCCCTTTCAACTACGTTGCAAAGTGGATGCAGACTCATTCCTGAACTGATACACCCTTTCAACAACTTTGGGACCTCTGTTAAAATCGGAATGACACAAAAAATAAAAATAAAAAAAAATTCGGAATGACACACAGAGAAGATTAGCATGGCCTCTGCACACGGATGACACAGCATTCAAAAAAAAAAAA